TTTTTTATATATATATATATATATATATATATATATATATATATATATATATATATATATATATATATATATATATATATATAATTGGACATTAATAAAACAATACAAAAAGAAAAATTATTATGATCAATAGAATATAAAATAATGTAATGCTAAGTTGGCAAATAAATAATAAAAAGCCCTCAACCTTACAGAAGAATATTTTGAGCAAACACTCGCAACAACTTTGGGATTCTCATATTTATCTTATCATATCGTGACTCAACATAAGTCACAATTTACGAGTCAATATGAACTGCGAGTACTGTAAAACTGCATCACGCCCGTACCTGCTGGGAGTGCGCATCAGCAGGCACAGCAACAGCATGATTTTCACGTGGTTTCTCGCGCGCGCGACAATATCGATTGCATTCGGGTGCGCCAGTGCAGGGGTCGACGTCGGCAACGGCAGCGCTGGCGACAACGATGACGACGGCGACAGCGCCACATTGGATTCTGCTCCTGACCATCTATTGCGTCTCTTTTCCTTTCCTGCACAGCCTCCTCTCAACGTTTCTTACCCTCCATCATGGCGCACCACTCTCCTCTCAACACAATCATCCCCTCTCCTCTAATTTGGATTCACATTTGTTTTAAAAATTAGTTAAAACATTTTCATACTGGAATTCATTGCTAGAAAGAACAATATAAAAGAACCGTCGAACAAAGTGGCTAATTCAGTCGCCGATATTTATTAATTAATTATCGTTCGGATAATGTCGTGCTATCTTGTTTATAATATGAAAAAGCATTTCGCACCGAGCATTTTAAATCTTTTATATATAAATATTGATAATGTAGGATTTATTAGAGTAGTTGTAAATAATTTGACAATTATTTCAGTTAAGAAAATGATTCGTAAAATAATACTTTGTGTAAGGTCAAAACTATTTTTTGTTTATTTATTCTTTTTTTTCTTCTTTGTTTTTTTGCAAATTTCCCATTACAATGTTATATTATGAAATATTGAAGCTTACAGGAGCTTTATTTAATCACAAATGATTTGTAAATATAACCAAGTGCAGGTATTGCTTATTGTAAGAAGCTTATAAATGCTTAAAATGTTTTTTAGTTGACAAGGTGTCAGTCTCTCAGTATAATAAACCAAAAAAGTGATCGAAAATAGAATAGAACATATTTATAGAAAAAATTAAAATGTAAGTACAAGTCATAGTAGGCGCGAAGTGCGTTTAGAAGATGAAGTTCAAATAAATATAACATATGTGAGAGAAATTGTATAATAGGTAGAAGAAAGTTCAAGTAAGTAGGTATATGAAAGAGAGAGAGAGAGAGAGAGAGAGAGAGAGAGAGAGAGAGAGAGAGACTGATAACGCTGGAGAGAGAGTGCAAGGGATTACTATAAAAGGGGTAGGGAAGTTGGTGAAAGCCCTGGGGCTGCTCTCGGCAATGTCAATGACCTCGAAAGAGAGCCGCACTTTGCTGTGCTGCGCTCTATTCTGTTATCTCTGTCGGTCTTGCGCACGATACTTATCAAGTCCGTAAGTAAGCAGGCGCAGCCAGCAACGAACTGTGCGTGCGCCAGACCACTCATATACACATACGGGGGCACACGAGACGCACGCTCGCGCGTTTGTTTTGTGTGCCAAAGTATTAGAAAAAGTAATGAGAGATAGAGAATTTTTGTACAGTATGTACGTATATCATGAATTAGAGAATTTAAAATTTTAAATGTACTATAGACGTTTAATATTAATCTTTTTTTTTTCTTTCGTTCTTTTTTCTCTTAAATTATCAAGACTTTAATTTTCACTTAATTGATATGCGTTTGGATAGTATAATGTAATTAAAGAAAACTCTTTATTATCATTAATACCGATTAATCTTCGTACAATGTATTTTAAACGTATTTTTCTAAATAACGAATACTCATAATTAGAAAAACAATTATCTAACGCTATTCTATACATAACACGTAATTATGAAAATGCCACACTTAAAAACCGTTCGAAAATGTTTATTTACCTTTTGTAAAATATAAAATGTTGGTGGAGCAGTTCATTGTGATTTAGAATAAAATGAGCATTCTGTATGATTGTTTACCAATAAAAACAGCTTCGAGTTTAAATTTGTATTTAAAATCATTACTAAATTGAAATTTCAGTCCTCTGACAAATCATTAATAATTATATAAAATAATTAAAATTGTAATTAATTTTTTAAATTTTTGATTATTACTTCCATACTATTATACATCTTAATTCAATATTTATATTGCAATTATATTGGTCTTTTATGATCAAATTTATATTAAGTTAAATTAGTTGTAATAACAACTTTCATATAAATGATTGAATACACTTTTCTTTCAAAATTTTATAATAATATTAATTTATATTCAGAAAAATTATTTACACTTATATAATATGATAGCACGATACATTTGCAAACATTGCAGTAATAATCAAAATCACTAAAACGGTTTTTCTAATATTATATTACCGTAACTTCAACCGAATAACTTGTTTCCTCACAATGCAAAATAGTTGACCCACACTGAACAAAATTGTTCATTATAAAACTATATTAAACAATGATATATAATACGAATAATACGATAAATTTTATTTATACCACTGACTTTTCATTAATTGTGTATAATTAATTTTTTTTTTTTTTTCTCGTTATCCAAGGTATATTATGCCAAAAAAAAGAGAAGAGCGCAACAGATGCAAGGCGAGGACGGGTCACATAAGAAGGAGAGGAAGCTGTACAATGACGGTTGGGACGACGACAACCACGACTACATTATCAAGAATGGGGAAAAGTTCCTCGATCGATACGAAATCGATTCTTTAATAGGTCAGTTAATTATTTACTCACCCATTATATATTATTAATCGTTATGTAAATATTTTTAATATTCCTGTGGATATTAGTTGTTACATTTATCACTATTTATATTTAAGTGAATTATTTCGTTTGCCTCATTAATGAAGTATAAAACTATTTGCGTCAATAAAAGTAAAGAACATTTGTTAATTGAAATAATTTACAAAATCAATTCTTTTCTAATACGTGTAAATTTTTAATCAGTGTAATATTTAAGGGACGCGAATGAATTTGGACATTATTCAAAAATATAAATATGCGTATGGAGTACAATATTTACAAAAAAAAAAAAAAAAAAAAAAAAAAAAAAAAAAAAAATTTATAATCTTGAGGTAATTCATACGTAAAGTTTGTAAAATTGAAATTACATGAATTCTTGAAATAAAAAAATTTCAACGTTAATAATTAGTGAAGGAAAGTTAAATAAATTTACGTTGTATTACCTTGAGAGGGGAATGAGACTATTTCCCTAAATATATAATAAAATAATGTATTATTTTTCAATCATAACCAAATGAATAGTTGTCAAACATTGGATTAAACAATAAATAATTATAAAGTCTTAATGATTTTAATGTTTGCAACAAGTAAAAGCTCAATGAGAATAAAGTATTTTTGTAAATTAATTTAGTATCCGTGCCAATTTATACGCATAAGTAATTACCATTATTTATCAAATGAAATTGAATTTTAAACGAATTTCCATATGTAAGCAAAAATTAAAAATAATCCGTAAAACAGTTGCAATAGACATTATTCTGTACAAATATAAAATTTCATTTATTATTTCCTTTCCCCAGGTAAAGGCAGCTTTGGTCAAGTAGTAAAAGCATTTGATCACGAAGAACAAACCCAGGTCGCAATTAAAATCATCAAGAACAAAAAACCTTTCCTCAATCAAGCGCAAATCGAAGTTAGGTTATTAGAAATGATGAATAGAGCTGATACCGACAACAAGTATTATATAGGTAATATTAATATTACAATTAATTTTGCACTATTAGCATTAGTTATATAATTCGTGAAATATTGTATTTGCACGCGTATTATAATGTAACAATTTGATGTAACAAACAATATTTGTATTATATAAATTATATTGTCTTACAGTTAAACTCAAGAGGCATTTCATGTGGCGGAACCATTTGTGTTTGGTATTCGAGCTACTATCGTACAACCTTTACGATTTACTTAGAAATACGAATTTCCGAGGTGTATCGTTAAATTTGACAAGAAAATTCGCACAGCAACTTTGTACTGCCCTTCTCTTTTTATCTACGCCAGAATTGAACATCATTCATTGTGATTTAAAGCCTGAAAATATCCTTTTGTGCAATCCAAAGCGAAGCGCAATAAAAATTGTGGATTTTGGTAGTTCGTGCCAACTTGGACAAAGAGTACAAACATAAAATATTGATATACGTTTATCAGATGATCGATATGTTTATAAATTACTTTTTCTTTATTTTTCAGATATATCAGTACATACAATCTAGGTTTTATCGATCACCTGAAGTGTTATTAGGAATACCATATGACCTCGCGATAGATATGTGGAGTTTAGGTTGTATTTTAGTTGAAATGCATACAGGCGAGCCTTTGTTCAGTGGAGCTAACGAGGTAAGCATTTTTTTTTTTTTTTTTTTTTTTTTTTTTTTTTTTTTTTTTTTTAAATAAATAGTTGTATTTAAGAAATAATAAAAAAAAATTTAGAATAAATACGTCTAGTGGTGTGTGAATTTTTTCTTAAGATAAAAGCAAATAAATCAAAATTTTATTGTCAGTTGAAAGCAACGTGGTTTTCTTTTTTATATGCGATATATCATGGTTATTTTTTATCTATAATAAAACTTGAAAGTAATGTACTAATCTCTTTCTTAATATATGTATAAATGATTAAACAAACAAAAAAAAATAAATAAAAAAAAAACATTTATTTAGTTGTAAATCAATTATCGAACATAATAATTGCTTATTTCTTTTCCAATGACAATAGGTTGATCAAATGAACAAAATCGTCGAAGTGCTAGGTATGCCACCGAAGCATATATTGGACCAAGCGCACAAAGCGCGGAAGTACTTTGATAAGGTTCCCACGGATGGCTCGTACGTATTAAAGAAATCCAAGGAGGGAAAGAAGTACAAGCTACCAGGTACAAGACGACTACATGATATATTAGGCGTTGAAACGGGTGGCCCAGGAGGTAGAAGGCACGGCGAGCCAGGACATTCTATCTCTGACTACCTCAAGTTTAAGGATCTGATATTAAGAATGCTAGACTTTGATCCCAAGACACGAGTTACGCCTTACTATGCGTTACAGCACAACTTTTTTAAAAGAACGGCTGACGAGGGGACCAACACAAATATCGCCGCTGCAAATAGTGCCAACACCAGTCCGGCCGTTGTGTCAATGAATCAAGACCATGGTTAGTTCATCTTCCATGATCCAATACTTATATTTATATCTTTATATCGAGAGAATTCAAAGAACGTAAACTTATTCATATAAACTAAATACCTTTGGCTTGGGAAAATTCAACCAATTATCGCATTGGTAAATAATTGATTTAGATTTTATAAAAATGTGTATGTACTTGAAGAAATCTTGATAGAATCAATATTATAAAATTAGACGATAAAAACATACATATATATATATATATATATATATATATTTAAAAAATAAAAAAATTAAAAAAAACTATAATTTTAAAAATTAAAAATTCTAATGTTTAAAGGTTGAATTTTCAATGTGCTTGAACAGAATAGTTTATATCCATAAGGACGTGTACGATATCGATTTATCAGATAGCTTTTAAATATAAAAGACATATATTTAATATAAATTCACTTTCACAGTATTTATTAACACGATAATTATTTTCATATTTTCGTTTCGTTTTTGTTGTTTTTGTTTTTGTTCTGTTTTTTTTTTTTAAGAAGACGACACGATTATTATAAAAAAATTTGTCTCTGTGTCTTAATTTCACTCGTTATTCATTCTTCATCAGCAATTTGACTTTTGTTTTTGGTTAAGATGAGCAAAGAAATAGATTGGCTGATTTCTTTAAAATGGTCACTTAATGCGTAACAAGATTTTCCGCTATAATGATTAAAAATAAAAACATAAAAGAATAAAAAAATCTTGCCTCTTTTATATCATAAATTAATAACAACTAGTCGGATTGCATTAAATAATTAACATATACCGGAAATATTAAATAATTACTCCTTCTGATATAAATTTATTTTTCGTTAAAAATTCCATTTAAATTTAAACATTATCAAATACTGGTTCGGTTTATTGTAAAACTCTGATTAATTATTGTATTCTTCTTTTTTTTTTCTAAGTTAAAGTAATTAAATTTTTACTTTACATTCATACATATATATATATATATATATATATATATATATGAAAAGATATATTTTGTTAAAGTATACAAATAAAAATTTATTGTTAAGTTATGTTAACACATGGAAAGATCGTTTATTCAAGTTTTTACACAATGTGTTCAGCAAATGGTTGTTTGAAAAGTGAAAGTTTTGTTTTGTGCAGAAAATAAGAAGCTCTCGCTACATTAGCTTCTGGCAAATTTGTTTATATAAAGCAAACATTTTGCAGATTTATTTCTCAACAATCACTTTGTATTCATAGTATGATATCATTGGCTAAACAACTCCAATATAATACAAATATTTCTAATACTATGATTGCAATGAGAACGTTGTCTTTGTTTATTACTTTGGATACTTTGGATTATTTTGAAAAAATTATTTGTTAAACTACACTTTATTATTATTATTATTATTATTATTGTTGTTGTTGTTATTATTATTAATATTATCATCATTATTATTATTATTATTATTATTATTATTATTATTATTAATTCTCACCGATCTTTTTGATATCCCGAAATCTCATATCATTACTTTTATTCTCCGGTTTCTAGTGTATTTTTGTGATTATTCTAATCTTATTCTTATTGTTTGTTTTCTGCACAAACTAAACGATTCTTGTTGTTGTTGCCCGTAGATATGATGGGGGGACAGTACGTGGCTCGATGACTGTCGTATCCGCGGGGCGGCGACGACCTGTCCTAGGCCCCAACCCTAATCTTACTTACTAACATAAGTAAGTTCTATCTAACAAACAAATCCTTGATTGCTAAAAAAAACTAACATAATACCCGAACGTGCAACCTTTTTTATATTATGTTCCTTTGGCCTCGGATGTAATGCGCGAAGCCTTGCTTGTAAATTATTCAAATTGATATTAAAAACTTGAAATGCCAAGCAATGGATTATCACGCTACTTTTGCCCAAAACTTGGTATGGAGTGTTTCTATTTTCGAGCCGACCTATCTATATACATTTCCTTTTCTTACAAATGAAATATTAATATTGGGAAAATATAATTAACGTTTTACCATAGAATATGCTTGAATTAATGCAAAGCTCTGTGCGAAAGTCAGAAAATACAGTAAAGTTTTAACCTTTCAAAAGCAACATATTCTATAAGTCTTTTTATTCTATTTAGCTTAGATGTTATTCACATTATTGCTTTTTCATTCTTTATTCACGCATGCCTCTAGTTATTTGTATTAAATTTTAGTGTAAAATACATTGAGCCAAATGATGGCACGTTGTCATTTTATGTCATGATTTCTACTTTGACAATCAATTAGCTAAGTAATATTTTAATCTTCATAAGAGACAAACAATGTTACTTAATGGACAAGTCAACGTTTCATAAAAATTAGATTTTATCATCGTAGAATAAAGCTATTGCACCGAATGTAAATATATTATCTATTTTATTATGAAGTGCCGGACATATCTATTGTAATATATTGCATGCCACAGCATGTATATATATATATATATATATATATATATATATATATTTTTTTTTTTTTCAATTCGTATACTATATTATGTACATAATACATACATTCACAAATAATTCAATCTTTCAATGTTCAAAGTACAATTGCTCTTTCCTTCTATTACATAAATAAAAATAAATGGAATGAAATACATATTTTGGCCGCTTTTAACGAAGCATTTAACATAATTTATCCGATGAAATTTGGTCTTTTTTCGAATTCGTATCGAGAAAAGAAAACTGTTTATTAATTATAGGTTCTTTAATTATTGTGCTTAAGTTGTATGGTGAATTATGTATTTTAAATTGAAATATGCTCCTTAAATTTACATTTTATGCAACTTCATCGTACAAGCTCTAATTACAATTTAACAATTCTATAAATAAGAAAAGTGTTTACTATTCGTGTGATGTTTTATATTATATCGAAGGCTAATGTCTCTTTACCTTTAGTAAGGATTAAGACAAGACAGTGTATTATACTTTATATTATAGTTTGTAATTATTATTTGGTCAGACCCTTAATTTGCATTTCCTTTTTCATTTATTTATTTCAATAAAATCAACATTTTCTTACTTGCCAAGATTGCCATTATTATACTAAAAGACTGATATTTTACTATGATTTTGATTAAATTTGATGACCAAATGAATTCATTGAAATTGAATTTAAATTTTTTTGTTTTTTTTTTTTTTTTTTAACCCCGTAGCTTTGCCATATAAATATGTATATGTAAATGTATCAAATTATTATTATTATTATCATTGTTATTATTATTGTTATTATTATTATTGTTGTTGTTGTTGTTGTTGTTGTTGTTGTTGCTATTATTATTATTATTATTAATGATCTTGGGTCGGTTTTTCTTATGAGTTATGTCACTATTGTTCATACTTCCTTAAACTTAGTCTTAGAAAATCCAATTCAGTGATCCTCACATTAATTTCTTTTTAGTACTTGTAATTAATTGTCTCTGCGGATGAAACTATTTTACTTCTATGGATATTTGTTAATTAACAAATCGATTGCAACAGTTTTATTATCGGGACAACATTTATGAAATTAATTCGACAAAGTCATTGTTAAAACATGATTATTTTTTAAACATAAAATTCGTCATTCATATGAAAATTATTCCACTGATTGAAAAATTTATAGCAGAAATTAATAAATGTAAAATAATTTACACATCAAAGTCATAAATTTACTTATATCTATAATTACATTTTTATTCAAAATAATAATAATTCAAAAAAAAAAAAAAAAAAACAACAATATACGTGGATAAACAAGGAAATGTTAAACATTCTTATATTAAGTAAATATAAATTTTTTTTCTATTTTATCATCAAATTTCAATAATCCATTAATGCATTATATTTTAGATATATTAGACGCAACGGAAGTAGGTATTTAAAAAAATAAATAAATAAATAAATGTACATTTTAGAAAAAGAATGAGTTCTTGAATATAGAGGTCGAGGAGAATTGTTTCAATCGTAGGTGAATTACAAATAGCCATGAAGAAGCTAAAAAGTATTGTCCTGCAGGTTAATGGTCTGCCATTGCTCTAATCTCTTTCTTTTTCTATTGTTCTCCAGGACTGGTTAGCATGTCTGGACAGGGCAGCAGTAGCAGTGGTGGCGCCGTTAGCGTCAACATTAGCGGGAGTGGCAGCGGCAATAATGGCGGTACAGGCAGCAGCTTGCTTCATGCACCTCAAAGCCTTAGCTCCGGTTCGAGCTATCAACCAATGGAGTGCGAGTCCTCACCGCGACATACCCTCGGAATCAGCAGACGACCGACAGCCACCTCGAATACGAGCAGCAGTGGCAACTCGATAACAGCATCCATGGACGGTGGAAATGGAAGCGTTAGCGGTGGTAGCGGTACCGGCGGAGGCGGTAATAGCACCAGAGTCGGCGGTAGCAGCAGCGGAGGCGGAGGCGGCGTTGGCATTGGCGTTGGCGGCGGCGGCGGCGGCGGCGGCGGTGGCAGTGGTAGTGGTGGTGGTGGCGGCGGCGGTGGCAGCGGCAGCGGCAGCAGCGGCGGTGGTGGCGGCGGCGGCAGTGGCAGCAGCAGTAGCTCCCTTATACAGAATTCCCTTGGCTCGTATAACAGCCTCATCCTTCCTAACATTCCCCATCTGCCGGCGGCGATGATGGGCTCGCCAATGTCCGGCATCCATCACCACCAGCAGCCCAGCTTTTACAACTACGCGGGCTATGGCAGTGGGTCCGAAGGCCACAGGCAAGTGGTCGTGCCGTCGCAAGTGGTAGTGACCGGTGGTAAGCAGCGCGGCGACGCCGAAAGGGAGGACAGTCCGATGGTGGGTGTGTGCGTGCAGCAGAGCCCCGTAGCCATTCATTGATCATTGTCGTCCAATGGTTTCATGGGCTCCTCGCCTCGCCGACACGATAGACGCCTATACGGGCAGAAGATGGGCCGTGATATACATTGACGGTTCGTGCTGCTTACTTCAGTCTTCTTTGGATTCTTGATCATCCCTTGGCTACTACGCTTGTGCGACGTTTTTATTTTAAAGGATTCTCGTTTGCCTTTTTCCTTTCGAGTGTTCGTTTTGATTGTTCTAGGAGTTTCAATGAGAATTTTGAAGTCTCATTTTACTCCCGAGCTTTCAGTTTCGTTTCGATTGTTTAATGTTGATGGTTTGCTAGAATTCTTTTCGCTGCCTCGGCCAAGGAGAGACACTTTTATTAAACGTGCAATGTCTCGAGTTTTCTATGGATCTGTATTGCAGTGAAATGCATAAATACTTACAAGGAACAATTGTATGGTTCTTTTAGTAAGTTACAGATTTGTCAAAATTACACAAATTTGAATAAAGTGCAAAAAGTATGGGGATGGTACTCAATGTAGTCTCAGAAAGTTTCAATTCTGCTTACCTACGAAACAATAATTTTGCTCGAAAAAAGTTACCAATTATGTTATAAAACAATAATTCCAAATATTTAAACCTTCGTCGGCACATAAAAAAAAAAAAAAAAAATTCAAATACCGATAAATTAGGCAGACCTCTTGATCAGCCCACAGGAAAGAAGCCTCTTGATCTTCGTTTTCTTACCTCACGACGCTGCATTGACTTTTAAATAAAAACTCATCGTAAGAAGAGAGACAAATGTGCGTGCGTGACCGCCTCGATCGAAAGCAATAAGTGCAAATATGCCTATACGTGCAAAAAATGGAAAATAAGAAGAAGCGAAAAGGCTGACAATCACGACAACGAAAGATCTAACTGAAGAAAAGTACGAAGAAGAACAGGAAATCAAATGGTGTTCTCTCTCTCTCTCTATCTCCATATCTATCTCTTTCTCTCTCTCTCTCTCTCCTCTCTATCTATCTCTATCTACCTATCTATCTTTCCCGCATCTCTTAACGGTTTTGCGGGTATATGTGAATTTCCATCCTAGACGGAGGGATGAATTAATAATATAAAACGTCGATCGGCAATTGAAACTCATCTCAAAGGAATTAAACCGAAGAAGAGCAAATTCTGTATGGAATATAGCTCGTTAATTATTTAATACTATAAATTGTGTATGCGCGTGCGTATTTGTGTGCGAGCATGTATCCGTGTGCGTGTGTCTGCGTGTGGGTGTATGCGCGCTCGCATGCATCCGTGCGTGCGTATGCGCATATATATGGATAAATATATATATATATATATATATATGCATATATGTATATATGTGTATATGGATAGAAAAGTATATAAATACAGGTTGCATCTTACTATATATATATATATATATATATATATATATATATATAAAAATATATACAGAAGGTATGCCGATCGGTGCAGTATACGAAAAAAAAAGACGTAAGAGGTGGAGAACAAAGAGAAAGCGCCGCGTTACCTCGAGAGCATGGATACACGGAGGATTACGGCCTAGAGTGAGGAGTGAAACCAAGCCTGACCTCTATGAGTCCTGCCCGACAGACACTTAATTAAATTTCAATGAAAAAAAAAAAAAAAAAAAAGAAAATGAGGACAATGCAAATTTAGTCGATAATGCGACAAGGGATAAATTTTACCATATGAACTGTGTGGCCTAGAGAGGAAAAAAGTGATAATTACCTATTACTATTATATTAAATGAAGGGGGTAATACAGATAAACAATGTAATCATGTACTCCGATAGAGTTTTATACACGATGTGACGAATGTAAAAGGTACATAGTGCGTATACACAGTAAAAGAAAAAAATAACAAAAGAGAATGCTTGTTCTTTGTACAATACGTTTAGGTGAACGCAAATAAGAGTGCAGCTTTAGGGTCTTAACTTGTAAGTGCAGAAAAAATGAATACAAATGTGAGAATGTGTGTAAGAGACATGAGAGTGTATGCGTGAGAAAAAGAGAGCGAGGGAAGGGAAGAGATGTGGATTTAATTCTTTTATTTACTTTGGATTCGACTAGGCGTTGGATGTGTGAATAAAACATGCTGAGCGGCGCAAATTCCAATTTGTTGCTTACAAGGACTTGAAACAAACTTGAGTCTTTGCGCAACTTAACAATACATATTTATACATAAAGTATTGATAAGAAAGTCGAAGTATAAACGCTACGAATCATCATGAATGATATAATCATATAAGGAAAAAATTAGGTACTTTGTAATTTAACAATACATGCGTATCACAAGTACATACAGTTCCAACGTCGTTATTGATTTTTGCCGTTTTTATTTTATTTTTCCTTTTTTTTTTTTGTATTTTTTTTTTGTATTTTTTGTATTATTATCGTACATCAATTTTGCTCAACTCTAGTGAACTTCAGGTTCTAGGGAATGCGAAACGAAAGTCAGCTCAATAAATTTTTTAATACAAATTTTTTTTTTTTTTTTTTTTTTTTTTTTTTTTTTTTTTTTTTTTTTTTTTTTTTTTTTTTTTTTTGACCAGATAAACAACATAACAGGTATTGAAATCTGAAATATAGAAAACAAAACACTAAAACTAGTTACGATATTCAATACGTAGACTGAGTAAGTGTTTCTTACTGTAAAAAAGAAAGGAAGGAAGGAAGGAAGGAAGGAAGAAAGAAATAAAGAATAGAAAAAGGAAGGCTTATCGTCCTCGGTATTTTATGAAAAGTCGAGAATTTGTGGATTTCTCGCACACGTTAATTGTAAAGTAAACTCTTTAAAAGCGAATCTTTTTTTAACATAACTAAATAATAAAGACTGTTGATACAAAGTGTTTGCTGTATTATGAACATTTGCTAAAAGTTTACGGATAGATAACATAAAAATACCGTTTGTGAAAAATATCAATTTTATTTTTATTATTAATTAAATTAAAATATTAAAAGTTTCGAGTGTATAGCTTTTTTAATAGCATGATTTACATTATTCGTATTCAAGGCGAAGGGTTTTAATTAAACATTTTTAAAGGAACAGCATAAAACAAATTTTTGCAGTAATGAAAATGTTGGGAGTCTTTCCTCGCATTCTCATATTGTGCTTGCATATCAGTTTGGCTGTCGGTGTATTCGACGCGACTGCAAGTGTGTGTAACCAATGCATTTCATCCAGCTTATTGAAGGGCTTGGAATTATAATAATAAAAAAAAAAGTATAAAAAGATAATAAAAATAAAAAAAAATAAATAAGGATTTCATCGATCATTTAGCTCGTAAACGACGAATTACGTTGGAGTACGTACAGATTTTTCAAGTTATTTATATATTTTTATAACGCAGTATCGACGACATGTAAATGTATATTTCTATGCCCCTCCTCCGCATGATGTCAGGTATACAACTGTTGAAAACTTTTCTAGAATCATTGAATTTTGTTAGATATCTACGTCGTGCGTAAGTGTGTATTTTTTACCTCAAGTTGAGATCGGTTGTTAAGCTCAACAGTGACTTTTGAAAGTTATTGTGTAATAAGTAATTGTCGAATAATCCGCAGCCAAACGGATAGAAATCGAGTATATATAATATGATGGACATGATGAACATTAAAATAAACTGATGCACATTAAATAAGCTTAAATTTCAAAAGAAAGAAATGAAAGAAGGCAAAGTGTCACGGGTCGGGCCGGGTCGGGGGGGGGGGGAGAGATCCTCTTAACAATTGCGAGTATGTTCAAAGTTTTCTGTGATAAATTCTGACATACTCGATGGGGGATGATGAAGAAAAAAATGAAGGAAAAAAAAATGAAAAAAAAAAAATAATAATAATAATAATAATAATGAAAAGAGAATAGAAGTGAATATGAAATATTCTCAATGGAACGGCAAAAATCAGTACGCTTTTTTCAGAGAAGCAAGGAAAATAATAAAATAAAATATAAATAGGTAACGTATAATTTCAGATGCATCCTCTTCCAAATCTCTCTGTTAAATTCTGTACGCGAAAGTTTTCATGATCGTTTTAAGCCCACTGGCTTATTATCGAAAAGATTAACTTTGTTTTTAAAGAAGGAAAACGTCGGGGAGAGGATAAAATTGAGATGTGTGACGTACTAAACATATACTTTTTTTCTTAAGGAATAAAAGCAAAATGTAAACATTGACAGAGCACAGTGGTGACTTTCGAATACAGAGTTACTTGTTGACGATGCATAACGTATTTCGTTCTTTATTTAATTTCTTTTTCACATGACCATCGTTAATGTTCTAAATTAATTGTTATCATTTAATAATATATAGTTCTGTCATTAATTTGAAATTACGGATTTTAGCAAATTGAAAAAAGAGGACCTTGATGATATTCATTAATTGATATATCAATGTTTTAATGTATTCATATCAAAAGCATTATGATACATTGTTAAAGCATCTTATCATCTTATTATCGTCGCCTGTAATTTAAATTTAAAGCTATCATTATGAAATAAAAGTTCTGTTTTCTTAATCACTTTTAAGAAGTAAGGATGTATTCGGCCACCATTGATGAATTCAATGCTTTTGTATTGTTCGTTCATCGAGGACCTCTTTAAATTAATATTTTGGGACAATTTATTTTGTGGCAGAGAAATAATAACGACTGCGAATTTAAAAAAAAAAAAAGAAGAAAAAGAAGAAGAAAAGAATAATAATAATAATAATAATAATAATAATAATAATAAAAAAAAAATATATATATATATAAAGTGGTTTTTGGGATTTTGAAAGACTATTGAACCATTGTTAGTTTGTAAATTGTAAAACTTATTGAATGAACTGCGGTTTTTTCAATTTTCAATACATACGTCGTTCCTGGACGATCCTGGATATTCCGGTGACTTTCGCCACTCAACAACAGTTGACCCTTAATACCGAATATTTAAGCCAATTAGCAAATGACAGAATTGTACACATTACATAGTATAAGAGTCAGTAATACATGTTTCACGAGATTGTTCTCGATGATTTATAGTTATTTGTGACAATTTTATTATACTTCTTATCTACTTTATAAAAACAATTTTTAATGTACGTTAATATTTCAATGAAAGGAAAAGAGGGGAGGGGGAAAAAAACGAGAAAGGAAAAGAGAGAGTGAGAGAGGGGTGGGGGGGGAGATAAAGATGCCTATAGTATAATCGAAGAATACTAATGACTTCTTTTATTTTATAATATTGTATTATTGCAAAAATATCTTACACCGTTTATGTCTTAATTTACACAAGGCGTTGCCACATAAAATTATATTATCCCCATGAAATATTAGTATATTTAACTAAACATCAATCTTCTGAACATGTATTAACTGAAATAACATAAGTTTCCTAAAGTCATGTGTAAAAACATTGTGTTCAAAAGAAATATACTACAATACGACTGATAAAATGCCTGTAAGTGGCGAGCAAGCGTCCATCGAGGAACATTATGATACTCGAGCAAAGATACACCTCTCGATCGTCAATTGGACGCCACAGATCGGAGCATACGTGGAATGAATGAGAATAAACAAATTAAAGCGCTAACATTTAAGAGAAAAACCAACCGACTTATAAAAAGAATACAATACAACAAATTATAAAGAAAAAAAGATGCGAAAAACCATCAACTCCATATGAGACAAAGAAATTGTATCTAACCTGTATACATTGTCATATTATTATTAATATTATACATAATATTGTAATTGAAAATTTAAAACAATATTACATAAGGTTAATAATAAACAAGTGCATCTCTACTCTTGACTCCTACCTTCTTTACTAGAAATAATTTTTTTTTTTTTTTTTTTTTTTTTTTTTTTTTTTATAACTTCCGTTCAATATGAAAGTGAATGATGAGCTTTTCGAATATATCGAATTGTATTTGAGAGGAATTTTGCTTTTTTTTTATCAATAAATTCACGCGCACGTAGGTAATATATGAATTACCTGGTCACATAATCTGCTTGAAATTTTAAAACTAAATTACGAAGGTTTTTTTTTTGTTCTATCTTAATTAGCCTTGTTTAATAACTATATTATTATACTAGTTTTAGGCATTATATATCTAATAAGTTGTTTATTTCAAATCAAAATCAAAATTTTTTTAATTATATCTTCATACAAATCTAGAGAATTTTTATAGTGAAAAATATCATTTTTATATTTATTTGTGTTCTGTCGACAAATTGCTTGTATAAATTTGATTAAATATTTATTACTATTATAATATTAATTATATAATTTTATTTATTTGTGTACGCATGCCTGCATGTACATGTATACACACAATGCATAAAGAACTCATTTATTTGATTCTGTTATGATTGAAATGATATTTAATTGTTAATGATGATAGATGTTTTTGTATGATAATGAGTATGATAAAAATTAAATTTGACATGCATTGATGAAGAAGATAACAAATTCATAACTTCATTAAATTTTGTACATTTATAGCATTAATTTTCACTATTTACAATGAATTACTAACGATAAAATAAAAATAAAAAAATAATAATAATAAAAAAAAAAAAAAGAAAAAAAGAGCGAATTTATATAAATGCGTGATACCATTGTGAGACATTTTATTTTTTTTAATTTTTTTTTAATATAATAATAAATATCATAATGTAATGTAAAGAGACTTCTCCCATTGACATATCAGCAATTGAATTAATTTAAATTCATTAGTAAATTCAAATATTCAGTTATACTTTTTTTTTTTTTTTTTTGATATTGTATATCATTGCATTATCTAATAATAAAAAATCAATAAAACAAAAAAATCAAATTACTTTTATTCCATACTATTTATATTTTTATCGTTCACACACATATATATATATATATATATATATATATATATATATATATATATATTCATATAATTACAAATCCTAATGATTAATGACATTGTCCAATGAAAATACTACTTAGCCTAAGTAAATTATGAATTTCTTTGACAACAAAATGAAAATTTTCTATTATACTTATATACAATGTAAAAGCACGCGATAGTTAAGAATTTAATATATAAATTTATAAAACACTTTTGTAATCGACAGTTTGTAAAATTTTTATACAATTTTAAATTCAATATGTCATTTGACTATGGCTTATCAAAGTTTGAATAACGGAATTTATTCACACACGAATAGTCTATACTATGAAAATAATAAGAATATTAAAGATTTGAATAGTCAATAATGTGCCAACAGTCGATAAATCCTTATACATCAATAATTAATTGTCTGCCGTAGTTGAGAGTGATTTCTTTCTGTTTATTTATTTTCACGCAATGTTTATTAATTGTCATTTGCGATCTGCCAATCAGTGACATGATATTGTGCAAAAATGGAAAAATGATCTTAGCCACTACAATTTGCACTAATTAGCTTGTTCATTTTGCTCGCTTATCGCTAGGATTTTTATTTTTAGCTTAAGTTCCGAAATCGAACACTTGTGCGACCTATATTACTATACTAGTTCCACCCTTAGCGTGCAAATAATAATTTTCTCGATTTTAATTATTTTAATCCATCTGCTTGATGGACATAAAAACATCCAATAGATTTTTGTCATCTTAATATTAGACGCGCTAAGGTGACTTATAAAACCTTCTTCTTTTTTTTTTTTTTGTAAGGAACATAAGAGGCTGAAGAACATCACATTCGACACATTGTGTATACATACACATAACCTGTTTGATTTTTACAAACTAAAATTAAGTATGTAAATTTTAAAAATAAGTTATTACTGGAAGTATGAAAAGTACTTGATGTACATTCATTTATGAAAAAAAAAAAAAAACAATTCATATATTAGATACATAACAAACGAAAAGATGTCTTCAAGATTAAGTGGTACGTATCATATATTATTATTATTAGTTTATTATTACAATTATGCTTCATATTATATATTTGGCTAACTATTATTGTTAAGACACTAGTGACACTTCTGAAGAGGAAGGGACTAATATCATTAAATCAGGAAAGCGTACGAGAAAAACTAGTTATCTAGTCGATTCAGGGAAACGCGTAGCAAAAAAAAAAAGCCATGGTAGGTAATGATAATATTGTTTCCAATTTTATATTAATGTTAGTTTTTGTTTAGATTCCAGTTACAATGACAGCTATCACGATGGGAAAGAAGATCCTCGTGACATTGAATCGTCCGACATTCAATGTTTTTATGACAAAAATTATCTTAATGATAAATTCGACGATGAATTAGAAGAAAAATCACAAAGTTCATATTATCACGACCATAGCTTATCTGGTATGATTTTCATATATATAAATACATTGCATTATTATTGATATATTGTGATAATAAATTTAGTAAATTCTTATGTGATTAAAAATTGATAAGGCAACCTGTACAATAGCGTTTATTAATCATTTATTAATTTTAAAAATAATTTTAATTGAACCCTTGATTCTTACTGTATACAAAATATATACTTACACATTAATATATTGGAATAATTTATATGAAATTAAATTATCAACTTTGTTTATAATTTTAATTAATATTTTAAAAGTCTGATATAATTTTTAACTGTCAAATAAAATACTAACAATAACGTACTGTACTAGATTACAAGGATGATGTTTCAAAACAACAAAATGATTCTTTGAAAGCCAGTACAACCAGTAGTACAGACTTTGAAGATGTGGAAGAAAACAGTGAATCGCCGTCAAAAACTGGAAGCGTTGCAGAACGTATGATGAAAAAATGGGGTTTTGAAACGGGAAAAGGCTTGGGTAGAGCACTTCAAGGTAGATCAGAACCAATATCGGCGTCTACGCAAAAGGGTCGTCGAGGTTTAGGACTTAAATTAAAAGAATTGGAGAAAGCTCATATTGAGTTTAAACCAGAGGACGAAGTTATACAGGTACAAGAAGAAATTACGTGGCTTCAAAATGACTATAAAATTTTGCCGTCTTCTGAAGAAATAATCGATTGGCAAAATAATAGAATAGAAGGAGAAAGAAAAAATACCATAAATAACGAAACAATTTTTTGTGATGAAATTCTTGTTTTAAATGTTGTTAATTCAAAGTCAGTCTTTGCGAGGCTTGATAAAACCGAAATGCGTGAAGCAAGAACAAGATCAAATCCTTTTGAAACGATTCGAGGATCAATTTTTCTCAATAGAGCCGCTGTCAAAATGGCTAATATAGACAAAGCTTGTAATTTTATGTTCACCGAGCCACCTAACGTTAAGTCAAACGAGTTACTCTATTTTGCAGATGTTTGTGCAGGGCCAGGAGGATTTAGCGAGTATGTTTTGTGGAGAAAGAAATGGCACGCTAAAGGCTTTGGTTTCACACTTAAAAATGAAAATGATTTTAAGCTTCATGATTTTTACGCTGGCCCTTGTGAGACTTTCCATCCTTATTATGGCCCTAAAAATGATGGTAATGTATTTGATCCAGAAAATCAAATAGCTTTGAAGGACTTAATAATGTCACAAACAGAAAATATGGGAGTTCATTTTATGATGTCCGATGGAGGTTTTTCAGTAAAAGGACAAGAAAATCTGCAAGAAATACTTTCAAAGCAATTATATCTTTGCCAATGCTTAGTAGCGTTGATGATTGTCAGGGTTAATGGTCACTTTGTTACAAAGGTATTTGATTTATTTACTCCATTCAGTGTTGGACTTGTTTACATAATGTATCGCTGTTTCAAAAGAATTAGTATTTTTAAACCAAATACCTCTAGACCAGCTAATTCTGAACGATACTTAATATGCGAAGGAAAATTACCTAACGTTGGTCATATAATTGATTATCTATTTAAAACCAATAAAAGATTATTAGAAAATAGCAAAACAAATGACATTCTTGAATTAATACCAGTAGAAAAACTATTATCGGACAATAAATTCTTTGATTATGTAAAAAGTTCTAATGAACTAATAGCTCAAAGACAAATTATTGGCCTGAAAAAGATAGCTGCTTACACAGAAAATAAAAATCTAATTGAAAGTAAGCAAGCAATTATGCGAGAACAATGTTTAAAATACTGGGGGTTACCCAATCAAGCACGTACTGTACCACGTCGCATAGATCCCCTTACAAAAGCACAAATGTTATTACAAGATGCATTAAGTGTATTAGAAAAAAGCTCCTATAAATACGCTACAAAGCTTTCAGCAGAAAATGTAAAAAGTACAGTGTTGCTTAATCACTGTAATTGGTATTGCATGCCTAGTTCGTGTGGACCAAATTCTCCAGTAGAGAATTATACAACATTTTATTTAGGAATGGGACGGTCTCAAATATATAAATATACCGATAGAGGCCATTGGGAACAAGTTAATGATCTATTAATTGAATTACCACGCAAAACTTTAATTTATGCAGAAATGGTTGCAGAAATGAGAAGAGAAGAGCGAAGTTTAACAAAAACTTACGGGTTACATATTTTTGATGCTTTTGTATTAGGAGGACAAAATATATCTGGAGAATATTTCATTGATAGGTATTTAAGATTTCCTTTCATTATTTTTTTATTAGATAAGAATTTTATTTTTCTTAAATTTGAATAAATTTGAATTCAACATTGATTGTAAAATTGTATGTTCGGTTATTCTTACAAATTGCTTATAAATTCTTAGAAATTATTCTTATATTTAGTTGTGAAAATTGAATATTAAATTTTTTAAGAAAGTTAAGGAACGTATTATTAAAACAACATTTTCTAGAATCATAAATATTTTATATGACATCATAAGTATATACTGCAAAGAATTAATATATCCAATAATAATTATTATATTGTTATTATTATATTGTGCGTGTTTATATAAATATATATTATTTTTAATTTACTAGTCGACTCTATTAACAGATTAAAAATTTCATTGATTTAATATTAAAGACATATTATATATATATATATATATATATATATATATATATATATATAACAAGAAAACCCTTACTATTCTATTACTTTTAATTTTATTTATAATTTACATTAAAGCTATATTAACGATTACTGTACAACAAGTACATATATTATCTAATATATTTTTGCATTTTTTCATTCGTTGTAAGATCTTTATAAGATAATGTTAAAGATAACATTTTATTATTGAAAAATTTATATATATGTAGTAGTTTAAATATGGTTTAATATTTCATAGTATTAGCATTAGAAATATAATTCACCAATACTATTTATGCAGAAATATTATTAAGTTATGAAATGTATTGATAAAAATATAGTCAAATTCACCTAGTGATATTGTATGTCACTTTTAATATAAAAGTCAACATTATCGATTAAAATCCACTAAATATTTCTTCAAAGCTTGATAAAAAATTGGCAAATAGAATAATGATTTTTTATCCTAAATACATTTAGCAGATACTTTTCAACCGTTTTATAATAACATTAAGTAAGTAAGTTAAAATAAAGTAAATAAAAAATAAAAGTTTAAAGAAATAATACTATGTACAATGTTTTATGATATTATAGATTTTCTTTTTCTTTTACTTTTTTAATGTGAGATATTATTTTCAGGTTAGAGCTTATAGAATTATTTTGCAAAGCACTTTGGAAACCAATAGACAGAAGGTTTGGTTCAGTACGAGTAAAGGAATTTTTTCCAATTAATTGTGATATTGCCAAAAATTTAACTGTTAAAATAAAAATTATGAAAAATGGTACGAAAGCAAACGGATACTATCCAAAAAAGTATTCCTATGAAAATGATAATGACGAGGCATATTACTATGTTTTAAGAAGCATTGTATTTTTCAAAAACACAATACACCCTTGGACCTGCCACTATAGCTCTCATAAACAACAAATGTATTTTTATAACCAAATAAACAACGATTCTCTATGGAAATTACCAAGTGTAGGAATAGCTAATTTTGCCCAAACAATACAAACGCGAATAATTTGGAATTGGGCATCAGATAAATTACTCGATATGAATAAGTTTATCGAACTTTTAAATACAACCAGTAAATCCTTTAAAAAGACCTAATTAATTCACTTTATCATTTTCAACTTCAGAAAATTTTCCAAAATTTTTTATTGGAAATTTTTTTTACATCGTACAATAATTAATTAGAATAACATTTTCTTTTTTTTTTGGTTTTTTTTTTTATATTAAATAAAATAATTTAAATACAGAGATATGTAAACAACTTTATTTACACAGAATTATGAACTTCAACAAATTATGAATAAATTTGCAATTGATATAATACATCCTTTGTTAAAATAATCAAATATTTATTTATAGTTACAGCTCCTAAAATTGGTGATGATTCACTCCCAAAATCCAATATCCTTTGTTTGCCAATTTGTGCATTATTTTCAGGTTTTTCATATAAAAAGGCATGCTTCGTATGCTCCACTACAGCTATAAAAGATCCATCTATAAGCAAAATCAATTAATATAGGCATTATATTATTTAATGTATTAAATATAAATAATGAACTGACCAGGTGGTGAAACACAAAACTTTTTATTTGTTTTACTAGCTTCGACGTAGCCAAAACCTGGGAAAGTATGAATATGCTCTAGCTCCCAGTCTTCGTTATTAGATTCTTTCATCATCCAGATACACCCATCGTGATCATGCCTCAAGCATATAATTTGTCCAGATGATTGCTTTTCTATAAACAAAATTCTATTACTACTGCCCAGTATAGCCATGTGTGTAATGCTGTGATTAGCAAAATTAATTCTCTGCAGAATATTCTCTGATCCACTTAAATCACATTCTTCTAATTGCTCTGAATTGAAACCAATAGCGGGTTGATCTTGAGCATTTACTTCTTGTTGATTTGAGCATAAATGTGAAAATCTACAATATATTTACTTATGTACGAACGAATCTTTTTAAGAAATTGATAATTAACGATAAAATAATGTAAAACAGTGTAAAATAAAGAGTTATTAGGCGAATAGAATATAATATATTGTATATGGATCATTCTAATATCAATATATTTGCTTTAAAAATGGTTAAATATATTTATTTATAATTATATTATAAGCGCAAAAATTATATTTTCTTCATTAAATTGATAAATAATAAATATTGCGAAGTTATCAAATATTTTGTTTTTGAATATAAATTAATTGCATTACTCTGTGTTAAAAGGAATTTTTTCACATATTATTAAATATGATTTACAATATATCTTTTAAAAATTAATTTTTAATTTCCGTACGAAACATTTACTTTTTTAAATCTAATACAACAAGATACTAATGTAAGTTTTCAGCTTTAAAACTGTTTTTAAAATGTAAAATAATATTTAAATTAATAAATATTATATATATTAATATAATTTATAAAAATAAATAATTTTAAATGAATAAATCGTATGAAAATAGATGAAATTGCCAGTCTCATTATATTTAGTAATTTAAACAATAACGCACTCATTGTTTACTGTATTTCCATATTAACTAGAATTACATTTTTATATTTTAATTATTCCAACAATATTTAATAGAATATACTAAATAGATCATTAAAGTGTAATTGTTAGGCAATTTATTACTTATATTTTTGTATAATTACAAGTACTTTATTGTACAAGGAAAAAAAAGTTTTTTATAAGTAATAATAACTTTTTGGTAATTTTCTTATTATTCTGAAGATATTTCTTTTTCAATCGGTATTAATCAGGTTTATATATATATCATGAATTGCAGTATATTCGGAATTAAAAATAATAATCTATTTGAAGTAATTGCCTAAAGTCGACTAAAGTTATTGAATTATTTTGCAATTATTAACTGGCAATAATGAAATAATATAAATTAGGCAATTTAAATTAACATTAATGTAAACGCGCAAAATAAACTTCAGCGATATTATTTGATATTAAAAACGGTTGAAGCTTATAAAAGATATGACGAATATTTCTACATTTTCTAATCTACATGATTTTAAAATATATATTTTTTCAAAGCTATTATTTTACAAAAATTAAAACTAATTCAAATTATGAATATTTGTGATACTCGCAGAAGCTAAAGAGAATTAACGAACGACACTCTTCGTTCTCAAAATCTTCTGTAATTACCTTGACATTTATACGATAAAATTCATTATTAATATGCCAACAATTTTTTCACTAATTGTGCAATTAGTATTGTAATAATAATTTCATATAAATAAAAGAAACAAAACCAGAATAAACCGGAATAAATAGTCGAGACGTGAGGATTTAAGAAAATAACGATAAGTTGACAAATTCATTATATATAAACGGTATATTTATTTTTTAACATACAACGATTATAAGTCAATTATCTAAAAATTTTGCAACATGCCCAAATTTTGCAACAGCCCAATCCAATGACTGCTGAAGCTATTTTAACTGTTGCTTTCCCCAGCGCTGTTTCTTGTTCGATTATACAGGTAAACTAAAAAGATTAAACGCTACATCTATGACAATCAATCACTGACTTCCCCTCCCTTACTTTTCCT